AAATGATCTGTTGTTGGGATTCGACAGTTGCTATGGTAACACGACAATAATAATTGTTTTTGTTGTGGTGTTTTTACAGTTGCCAAGGTAACAAAAACTATAGTAATTGATCTGTTGTGGGGATTCTACAGTTGCTATGGTAACAATTACTATGGTAAATGATCTGTTGTGATTCTACAGTTGCCATGGTAACACAATTACAATAATTAAGCTGATGTGATGATTCTACAGTTGCTATGGTAACACAACAATGGTAATTGATCTGTTGTGATTCTACAGTATTCTACTATATTAGCCTTCACTACAGCACCGTTTACTGTAGTAAAATCTAATTTACACTACAGTGTTTATTACAGGTGATCAGTTCACTATAGTTAACACTACAGTATCCTGGAGCACTCATTAACATAGAGCTGTAGATACTTTAATAGATTCTGTAGCCCATAATACAGTTATTAGGCTGTAGTATGGTTCAAGAACATAATATTGACTCTAGCTCAATGACTATAAGGGTAACGAGTATTAACACATAAGGAAAGCGGTCTAATGTTTAAAACAATGTATTCTATAATGAATTTGGTCTTCTAATAATACGTTTTTACTGCATATGGGAGGAAATGTGTAATTTAGTATGCAATGTACATAGAGTATATGTAGAAAACAGTCAACATTTCTGAATTACATTTGATTTATAATGCTAATGTTAGCATGTATTGACTCATATTTAATGGCAAACAAGACACAACTGTGAATATTTAGATTATTTGTGAATATGGTTTCCTTCAGTTACTCATTAACAGCTCTTCACTGCGACTGCACTGGTTAATTAAAGAAAAGAGGTAGAGAGGTAGAAACATGACGTCTGTTTACCTGCATATTAGAAAACTGATTGAATGAAATTCTTGTTTCTTCAGATTAAACACACTCATCTCTTCTAGAGGGAGAGTTAGAAAACTCTGAGAAGATTCAAGTGCTTTAAACAGCCACTGAGTGAGTATAGAAGAACACACACAGACTCAGTCACACACGCACAAAGCCCCACATACACACTAACACACACACAGAGACACAGACCCACACTCTCTCTCTCTCTCTCTCTCTCTGGTGTGTGTCAGATGCGTAAGAGCACTGATAGGCAGGTCAGTGCTCCGTCCACCTTCATCTTCTCCTGATTGGACACTGGGATGAGCATGTGACTCTTCAGCCTCTCGAACACCTGAAAAACACCTCAGGCGTCAAACTGCCATCACCATATTCTGCTTTTCATAATCAAATGTTCAATATTATACACTTTATTATATTAGAATGAGCATTTCAATGATAAACAATTAAATATAAACAAACCCTGCATAAAATACAGTTTTTTGCTTGACAAACAGTAATTTATCTGTTATTGTAATTCCACAGTTGCTATGGTAACATGACGACTACAGTAATTGATCTGTTGTGGTGATTCTACTGTTGCTATGGTAACACAACAACTATAGTAATCGATCTGTTGTGGTGATTCTGCAGTTGCTATGGCAACACGACAACAATAGTGATTGATCTGTTGTGGTGATTCTACAGTTGCTATGGTAACACTAATGAGTGAGTGTGTCTGTGAGTGTGTGTGTGTGCCCACCCCATTAAATATAAAGCTGAAGTAAACAAATCCTCCTCTAATATACATAAATTAATATAAAGTTATTAATAACTCGTCACATCTTAATTATTTTGGCGCACATCATCTGTTATGTTGCTGTATGCGCTTCAGATTGTGTGTTTGTGCTGTAATGCAGTTGCGTAACTCAATGAAGGACGCAGCTCAAGGAACAACGCAGCTGTGTGTTGTTTAAATCACCTCTCACACACACACACACACTCACACACACACACACACACACACACACACACGGATGAGAGAAACATTACAGCATCTGAATAAGCCTGCTAAAGGAGTGTGTCACCGTGTGGCGTCTCTCCAACAGCGCAGTGTTTTCCTTCGAGTCGTCCAGCTGACAATAACACACACTTCAACACAACCCATACACACACAGCATCACGCGCACACACCACAACACACTCTGCAGGACATGATTATGTCAGTGATGTTCAGCTTCCAGTGTTTCTCTTCAGGAGATGGTGTAGTTTTGTCAGTGTGTGTCTGCGTGTATGTGTGTATGTGTGTGTGTGTGTATGTGTGTGTGTGTGTGTGTGACCTTGGCGCTCTCAGGAAACACTTCAGGTGTGCAGTGCAGCAGAACGTCTCCTTTCCCCGGCAGGTTCATGTACACACAGTTTGCAGCCCGATCATCAGGAACCGTCAGCTTCTCATATTTACAATCACTCATCTGCTGTATTACCTACACACACACACACACACACACACACACACACACACACACACACAAAGAAGAGAATAGAACACACTTGACATTAATATCGGTGTGTGTGTGTGTGTGTGTGTGTGTGTGTGTGTGTGAGTTTGAGCTGACCACATTCAGCCAGCAGAGGGCGGCATTACACTGAACACAGACAAATGAGAATCACACACACACACACACACACACACTGAACAGTGAGCAGCATGGTGGCGCAGTGTGTGGCGCAATCACCTCACAGCAAGAAGGTCTCTGATTCGAGTCTCGGCTGGGTCAGTTGGTGTTTCTGTGTGGAGTTTGCATGTTCTCCCCGTGTTGGTGTGGGTTTCCTCCGGGTGCTCCGGTTTCCCCCACAGTCCAAACACATGCGCTATAGGGGAACTGATCAACTACACTGACCGTAGTGTATGAGTGTGCGTGTGTGAATGGGTGTGTATGGGTGTTTCCCAGTACGGGGTTGCAGTTGGATGGTCATTGGTTGCCACAGTGGAATGAACCGCCAACTTATCCAGCATATGTTTTACACAGCGGATGCCCTTGGCTGTCTGCTGAGGTGTGTTTGTACCTTCAGGGCCTTCTGTGCGGCATCACTGGAGCCGATGGCGATGAGGTTTGGACCAGCCATACTGCAGAAGCTCTTCAGATGGAGACCCTCCTCTACAGGGATAGTGGACACAGCGTAATCCTGGAACACACACACACACACACCAGCATGATGACCAACATTCACTCATAATAACAGAAGGAGATAGAAGAGGAACACAGTGGGCTGTGGAGGACAGCTCAAGCGTGACAGTGTGCTGGGAGACGTGGAGGACAGGACAGGCAAAGGTTTCTTGAGGAGAGCATGGAGGTGTTCACAAACAGAGCTGTCCCCGGCCTGTGAGCATGTTCACGCCGCTCTTCTGCTTTCACTTTAGTGTGTTAGAGTTTTCATAAAGCATGGGCATGGGCACGATAAGGGGCTGTTTGGCTGCTGCTCGTCACGAAATGCTGACGTTAAACGCATCCG